TCAAATTATTGCCAGTAATCACATGATGAGCAGCCATTTCAGTCCTCTGCTGCAGGCATTTCAGTGAATTCACGTGATGTATTGTAGTTTTTTTGTACGTATTTTGAAAATTCATGTGCCGGTGCATCATTATAATGATTCATAGATGGGTGATGGGTGATGGGTGCATTGGGGCACAGTCAATGTAGACCTTCACCCACCCCCACCCTACACACACACAGACACGGAACGTCAAGGTCGCTATGTTTCCCACATCCATATATCTTCTCTGCACTGACCTAAATGGGGGGCAGGACACGCACAAAGAGAGAGTCAAAAGTGTTGCTTCGGGCGCTTGCGTGCACGTGTGACAGTGTGTCATGTGCACAATCGTGCGAGAGCACGCATTCATGTGTGTCCGCGTGCGTGTGTGTGCAGGTGAATTACAGCTACCACTCACCATCCAAACCACAAGGGGAAGCACATCCACAGCTTCATTAGTCCCTTTCCACCCTCCGTCCCCCACCGCCCCCCCTCCCGTTGTGTCCTCGCTTTATGGTGGTGATGGTGAGACAAAGAGGAGCTAATCTACCGTAAAGAATGAGAGTGCGTCAGCGTTAAATCAAGCTTCAAAGACTTTAGATTCTTGTGTATGAGTTATGCATTCCCCAAATTCCCCCAACTCCAGAATGTCCAGCCGAACTGTGCACATACACTGCCGACACGCCACACGTGACCACTTTACGGACCCGACGCTGCCTGGCTCCAACGAGTCGGGTCAAATGTGGAAAATGGTCTCTAATTACTTTAATTTGTGTCTCATTTTGTTCGTCTGTCTCAGATCGTGTCTCTTTGTCCACATCCTGCGTGTGACAACATGCTCTCATGTGTGTTTACGTGAGTGATGCTTGTGTGACTGGTTTCCTCCAGCCTTCTCTTAGGCCTCCCTCTCATCTGTGATGCACATGTGTTTATGAAGGGTTGCGTTCTGGCTTTTGACGTGTGTTTACATGTTTCTGTGTCCATGAGTTCATTAAACTTGTGGCTTCAGTCTCTCGGTTTGTTTATTAAGGCCCCCTCGGACGAGAGAGCGAAATACGCAAACCTCCGCAGGGACACGCGATGATCGCTGCGCTTTCTTGTTTCTGTGCGTGTGTGACTGTGAATGAGTCAAGTTGTCTTTCATTACGAGATCTTAACAAATTGGTTGAATGTTTGAGCGGAGACCTCGCCGATGGCGGTGATGCGGCGCGTGTGCGTGTGCCGGTTGATATGGCGCAGGTCACCGTAGAGCTCCACAAGATGCTCTGCTTAATGTCCTGCTGGCGCACGCGTTTCAGAAACGGTGGTTTGGGCTCGACACACGTGGCTCAGCTGGGAACGCTGTGCCGTGTATTTCTTCCTGTTTTGTGTTCCACTTGGCTCAGCGTTTCTGCACGGCCAAATGGGGATGTTTCCCCGTGTGATCATCAGAGGAACCATGTGACAGCTTGAAATGTATAAACCCCAGAAAGGCCTTTCAACCTGCTTGACTTCTTAGGTGCAACACAAATGAGCAAAAGCCGTTTACATTAAAAGGAGAAGGTTTTGTTAAGGCGACGCAAACGCAAAAAGACACACAAATGCACTTACACGAGCGGCACCCTGATAAACGCGCTGCAGCCTGGACAAAGAATGTAGCATCTGTAAAAGAGCGAGGGGAGCGCCGATGGCCTTCACCAGCCCCCCCCGCGCGTGAGCTTCTTCACAAAAGCCCATTGTGAGAGCGACCAACACAGGCCATGATGCTCACTTTTTAAACCATTTTAATGCTTTTTTTCAGAGGTCTAACAACATGATTAAGCAGCAACGGTCTGTCGGAAGACTGAACAGACATTAGAACAGTCTTCAAATGCTTCATAGACAGATTAATACAGAGGCGGAGAGGGGGGACGAGACCTGCCACGCTTGAGGGTCGGTGGAAATGTGTCTCTGAGATGGCCTTGGTGAAGTGCTGCGAGGACCAGTGCAGGGGGGAGGAACACGGTGGAGCAAAGGTCAGCACCCACACCCGCATCTATTCATAGAAACAGGCACGAGCTCCATCAAGATAGGGCTGAGTTGCCTGCATTTTTCACATTAGCATACAAAATGAGGCGGACACGCCTCACTGGGATGTGGCATCACATCTCTCCAGGGACCTTTCCTCTGTGGACCTGTGCAACATTTTCAAAAACTTTTGAATGAATACATAAAAACAGTTCTACATTTGGCTTCCGTCAGGTGAGAAGATTGTCTTCTTCCGGTTAAGCTAACTGGCTACTAACTATCAATTTTACAACGTCTCACCAACTTATTCATTTCAAATGGGGCCTTTCACACTTTTTAAATCAATGTAAATAAAAAGGGTTTCATTGTTTGGCCGATACTATACAAGTGAACAGAGTACTTTTACTGTAATTTTCCGGTTGTTTTGAACTTATAACTTTAGATGTTTTATCTACGGTTTCTCGTGCTGTGTTGTACGCCTGCATGCCCATATGTTTAACTGCTTGTGTCTCCTTTATGCCCGTATGAGCACATCTGTGCGTATCATGAGCGTGTGTGTGCGTGTGGTTGCATGTGAGATATTTTATTTTCCATGCACACTAAAAGAGATGAGCGATAAGGCGGCGACTGTCGGCCCTGCGTGTCAGCTTTATTTGCATGTCTGTGTGCAGTGTCAGGTGACTTAACAGACAGCGGGACGCCGTGTCTCCGCCCGAATAGGGTGGAAAGACACTTCAATCTCATGACATGGGATTAATACACGCTGCCTTTTGTTGCGTGTGTAAACATCGGGCTTACACAACTACAATAAACACTGGCAAGCAAAATGATTGCGCGGGAAAAACACGTCGCGGTTGTACATCAGGTGGTCGTTAAGTCTATTTTTTGCTTTTTCTTCCTTAATAAATGTGAGAGGTCAAGTGAAAAAAAATGCTTGGTTTCATGTAAGAAAAGCTACTGCAGCATGTTTTTATCTTCACAGATATACGAAACACGGATCGCATGAGACGTCTCCCCTTATTACTAACTCCCCTTGAAGAAACTCAAAGGCCAAGTGGTATCTTGCTCAAGCATCAGTGCTCAGTACGATTCTTGGTGTCGCCTGTGAGAGAAGAGCGAGCCGCTGACAAAGAACAAAAGCCCACCAGAACCAGAAGGATTCACTGCTGATTTCTGTCAACCTGCTGGCTCTGACTTTTCTTACTGCTGGAAGACGACGGTGTTAAAACAAGGCTGAATGCTGAGGGGAGAGAGATAAGAGGTCTGCAGTAAAAAAGAATAACCTGTCGTATCGGGAGTGTTACGGCCTCATGAGTCACAGGACCAAACAGGAAACATGAGCGAGCGCTTTCTTTTCAAAAGAAAAGTCCCGTTTGATGCCATCAAAGGAAACACTGCGTTGAACATTTGTATGTTTTTCAGTTTTCGATACCGCAAGTCAATGGGTGGTATACTTGGTTTTTTCCAGATTCTGAGTATGACCTGTTATACTCAAAAGATCTGAAACACTTAAAGTGATGTGAACTGCTTCATCGTGTGAGTTCTTGAAACATATTTAAAGGAAGTAAGTGCAATTAGTAGTTTTTTTACTGCTTATTTAAGTGCAGCTGAAGTTGCACTTCAAACACAGTACTTTTATAACATAATAGAATATAAATGATTAAAAAAAAAAAGTTTAAGAATAGCAAAGAAAGTGTGTGCGTCTGTGCGTATGTGTGTGAGTGTGTTGGAGGTGTTTGTTTTTCAATATACAATAGCAAGTTACAGGATAAGTCAATTGTCCTGCAAAAATGCCAAAATTTACTGTTATGGTTGTTTTCAGCAAAAATGAATATCACTGGAACATGGAGTGCATGTTAATAAAAATAACATATTGTCTTGGATTTGGGAGGCATGAAGGAGATAAAACACAACAGGGGGAAAGCAGGTCAAGGAGGAAGAAGAACACGGCGGGACAGATGGAGGGAAGAAGAGATGTCACTCTTCAGGGGTCAAACCCAGACTGAATGGCAATTGAGTGGCTGTAAAGAAACCCGTTTCGAGTGCCCTCCGTCAGGCCTGAGCCATGGAGCCGGTTGCCTAGGAGACACATCACCTTCCACCATGCGGGACGACGGCTCCCGCAGATCAACCCATTCATTCCTGTGACGTGAGCAGCGGCGATAACGTTGACGCCAGTGCACCGTGAGCCCGTGTGGCTTCCTGGCGGAGGAGAGCTTCGTCTTTACAGCCGCTTTGTTGCTCCCGTCTCCTTGGCAACGCTCCACAGGTTATCTTGAACATATAGACTCCGACCATAATAGAGTCCACCGCTCAGCATGTTAGTGCCAACCGTCCTGGCAGTATGTGTCCCCCCTTCCTCAGTGACAATGAAATCCCAGAGACCGTCTTCCTCCTCCCATTGGCCGGTGAGCCTCACGGTGATGCCCTGTGATTGGACATGCCCGGGATTCACTCTCATCCAATCACGTTCACTGTATCCAAGAGACTGGAGCATGTGAGGCTATTTAAATCCAACCAGAGACTCACAAGATTGTTCAGATGTATATTTCACGGTGCAGAAAAAATGAAAAGCTAAAGGGGGGGGGGGTTTACGAGTGGACGAATGTGCAAATCCAGTCAGACCCCAGTGGTGTTGAAAGCGCTCGGCCTATCTAGCTGAGTTAAAGAGCCCAGAGCATGTTGGATGAATGAACTTCTGCATCATCTACTCCTCCTGAGCCTTGAGTTTATCTAAGAAAATCGATCAAATCCCACCTTGTCTCAGCACCGATGTCTGAGTTGCGGTTCGTGCAGCGGGGAGCGAGCGAGGGCGGCGTGGCAAAGATCAAACGGGCAGAACAGAGGCGGTAAAAGCCGGAGGACGACGGCGTGTCAGACAGCTGCGCGTCCTTAATGGTGCAAACGGAGCAGGGCTGTGCCGTCAAAAGGCCGACCCGCAGTGGACCACGACTGGAGAATTCAACTCTTGCTGACCAACTCGCAGCGTAAGTCTGCAGCCATTTTGTGTCCACTCCTTTTTTGACACGTCATCGTTTAAGGGTGGCAACAAAATGGCGGACAAATCCGGACGTCGGGCTGGCAGCGCTAAATCCTTTGAAGACGAGATTTAACGATTTTGCCTAAAGTGCATATTAGAAATGTTCCTATAGTAGATTATCATTAGGTGTACATTGCTTGTATGAGGTAGTTTATGATGCACTTTTCAGACTTGTCTGTTACACAGTTTATTCCCTTTATTTAGCCCACACATGTTGTTCCGTGTCACAGAGACCAGATATGTCAAAAGAACAAGCTGTGTGTCTCTCCCATGAATGAGGGGTGAAAGTAGGTTACAGCTACGACCACAATAACTCACTGACCTCAGAAGGTACCTCGGCGGACGAAAGCAGTAGAGGAACTGGTGCATTTCTTTAACTCAATAAAGCATGTGTAAAGTGTAGATTCGTAAGAACAAAATGATTTACACTTTTATGTTGTAATCCCTGTGCTTCATTGTATTGAGTAGGTGACACGTGGGCGGGAAGGTTCACTTTCAAGTTTCTGTTTCTTATGAACAGTATTCATCACACATATACATATTTTAGTGTCTTTAAAACAAAATGCAAGAAAATGTTTAATATACTAGCCACAAGCCACACCAAAATCCTATCAAATGAAAAAAATCCACCACTTCCTCAAAGCTCTCAACTTGCAGACGCTCATCTTGAACTGCAATTTAAATCACATACATTTCCCTGCAAATGGATCCTTATGATCAGTCCTGGCGTGCAAAGCTGAAGTTTGCGAGCGACTTTTACACCTCGGGGTGACGCGCGTGACGGAGTCGCGCGCCAGAGTGCCCGTAGGACAAGCTCGTGCACGTCGGAGTGGCTTGCTGCAGGACGCAGGCTGCAGAACTTTCCAATCAGTTGCTGGTGTTATGATTGTGGTTTTTCTTTCGATGGGAGCTGAGTTAATGAGTAATAACTGACCCAGATGCCACCCAGGGAGATTATTTCCGGTACGGTTAACGGTATGTGTTTTCTTTGCTTAAACATCTGTATATGAACGTATCCTGTTCGATTCCCGGTTTCTTCACCCGCTTCCTGCTTCTCATCGCTCGGTCGGGTTATTTATCAGTCGGGTACACTTGCTGCAGGATGCAAGGTCTAAGTTTCTCTCACTGGGAAGAATTACAAGTTTGTACATACGTCTTGAATGCAATGGTTATTTTGTATCTGGGGTTTGTTTGTCGAAACTACCAAAGCGTCATTTGGTCGCCATGGAGACGAAGCGTGAACGCGCAGGGGTGTTTATCATTCACTAACACGTGAAGTCCTCAGAAAACAACCGAGTTTTACAAGGTACTTTTTGACTTATTCTTAAAATAATGAAAATGCAAACATGATTATTTGTTATTATTATTTACTTTACCACATTTCAAAAGGAAATGTTTGACTTTTTACCTTGCATTCATAAGGCAGTTATAGTTAGCTGCCTTGTAGATTTACGTGGATTTTAAACAGACTCGTTGTTACAATGGTATGGAGTATTCACTTTGAATAATTTAGGTATATTTTGTTGATGATACTTTCATACTTTTACCTAGATTAAATGCAGGACTTTTATTTGCCATAGAACAATTCTACATCCTAACATTACAAATGTTATTCATTCCCACCTCCGATAAAGTTTACACCTGCTCTTCATTTTCTGCCCAGGCATCATCCTCATTTCATTCAACTGTTTCCCATCAGCGCGAGACCCTGTAACCACCTGCATGATGAACTCAAACCACTGAAGTCATTTGCAAATTTTCAACAAAAGCCCCAAATGGCCTCTATGGATGGGAAACGTGAGGTTTGCAGCCCCTTCATTCCACGGCGCAACGCACTGAGGAAAACAAGTGCGGAAATTGTCAGTGAAGCCAGACAGTCCCTCCGGGTCCAGTCCACCCGGCGACCATTCACGCCCAGAGATGGGCACCGGCAACTTTTTGGAAAGAGCTATGTTCGCGCCGACCGCGACAGCAGGCCACCGTCTGCCTTCAGGTTAGTCAAAAAGGTCATTTGAACCCCAGGCATTTCGTCATGTAGGAGTTAATTCAACTTGTTTTTCTTTTTTTTTTACTTCAGTCTTCATGCTCAAAATTTTGATGCACCCGATTCGAGGCCGGGTTCAGGGACACGCCTCTCACCTCTAGACCATGTAAGTTATCCAGCACGCACACACACACCTATTCTGTATGTGGTGGTTCAAATAGTGCATGTTCCACTAATGTGTTTGTGTGGTACCAGAAGCCAAAGTTTCCCGTCCTCTGTGATGCTGAGGATCCATTCAAGTCCTTTCCCAAAACCCCCAGTGCCCCGCTGGAGGTGAAGAAAGGGCCGCCAGGGATGCGGGCGCGCCTCCTCCGGACTGGATCTCTCACCGCATTGACTCCTACAGAGGGACACAAGCAGAGTGACAACAAATATGGCTGTAAGTCTATATGTCTATAATATGAGCAGGTGTTAGATGGTGCATTTGTAAAACAGGTAGAAATTCTAAAATAAAACCACACTCCATTTATTTTTACTCGTTGCACGCCAGTAAAGCACGAGCGCGAGAGCAGTTTTCTCAAATGGGAAATAAGTGGAGGCATTCACCTGCTGACTTTATACCTCATTTACTTTCTCTTCTGTTGAGCTGTGTGAAAAGCTTGATTTGCTGCTGCTGCTTGAGTGAGAAATGAGTTCTCTCGTGCTCTCTCTCAAACCCTGTCTTGCAAATCTGCTCCACCATTTGGAGCAACGTAGACAGATGATGAGGATGTTTAAAATGCATTCAATTCATTTGGAAAAACCTTTTGAATTGAACACGCGTGCACATATGGTTTAAGAAATGTACTTTTAGCTCGTCAGCGCTGCTGCGTCACGCAGAGGAAACCCGTAAATAACTTAGTGCCACATCCTTTCTGCGTGTTTAGGTAAAGAACAATCTTATCCAAGTCCAGGACAAAAGCAGCTGCCAGCTAAACGACCCCCCGGTACAGACAAAACCGAGGGCCGCGGTGGCCCCCACAAACCGGGCCCCCGCAGAACGGCAAGTGAAAGGTACGAACCGGCCTCTATTCGACTCGGTCTGTCCGTCTCTCTTGTTCTGCCCCCCCCAAGCGACAGTGGGACGGGACGGCACACAGAGGTTGCAGGCGCAGCCGTTACAAAATGTTACTATCATTGTGCCTTTCATAAAAAACCTCCCCCTCCTCCCCCTTTTAATTGATGGTGTTTTTATTTTAAATACATTCAGCCACTGACAGCTGATGCCGTCAGTTAGATCGGCAATGGTGTTACAACTAATGACACTCAACCCCATTTTAGGACCTCATATTCCTCACTGCACACTACATTTTGGACACGGTCGAATCCGGCTCCATCTTCAGTGAAACTACCTCCATCTATCGCTATGATCATGTGACAGCTTTCCACAATTTCACAGTACAGAAGGCGCCGCTTTAATCTGCCGACCTCGTCAGCTGCGTCACGGGGCGAGGGGGCATCATTTTGGCCGCGGTGTCGGGGGCCCGTCGCTACAATCCATCCGCCTATCGATTGGGCAGCCGAGGCTGTAGTGGAGGGGGCGGGTGGGGACAATAAAACACTTTAACCGGAAATCTGAGCTGCCCAGAGCACAACCTGCCCCCCCCCCTCCCCCCGAGCCGAGTTAACACGCAATGTTTATGTAACTTGTTGCCGACCAAGAGAAGTCCCACGAGGCTGTGGTCATTTCACGATTTAAGAAGCTACGGTTAAAGACTCCTTGGTTGGTGCTGGGTCAGACACGAACAAGAGATATTCAAGAGTACACAGACTGCCAGTGAAAGTATAGGCACAGCATGACAGATTAATATGAGGAGTTGGATGAGATATAAAGATAGGGGGAGATTAGACATCCACTAGGCTCGTTTTCTCCAATAAGCCGGAGCTTTATGGCTCCAAATGGCTCTCTATTAGATTTGGGTGCCCATCTGGGCAAGGCTGGCAGCAGCGTGTGTTGTGACTGCAGTGCACGGGGCAGGCCTAAGACTAAGGGATGAGGTCATGTCTCTGAGAATGCAGCATCACACAAAGAGTCCTTATTATCGGGCTCCTAATCCTATCACACAGAGCCAAAAGCCGCCTCTCCGGCATTCTCTCCGCAGCACGCTTTGGCCAGTTCCCCTGCTACGTGTGTCCCGTGTGCCACTTTATACCGATCACTATAATCTCCACCAAAATGAAAGTGCACTCCATAGTCACAGCCGCATGCTGTATATCAATGCTAATGTGATCAAGCAAAGCCGGCTAGTGATGCTCCAATAGAATGAAACAGAGACGTATTTACGATACCATTTTCAGTCTCATACCTGTCAGCAAAACCAGAGGCTCACTTGAGTGTAAAGGCTCAATAAGCTGAGAGTCAGCCTTTTGTTCTAATATCATTGCAAAAGCTTCAGAGTCCTGGCAACGTGATAAGGATTGCACTTTCTCATATTTTCTAAGGTTGATTCACATTTCATTGACTCATTTGTGATGTAAATCAAAGAGTTATAGCGGTAATTAGGATCACTCACCATGCTGCTGGTGTTGATCTACTATTAATAGTTATTCTCTCGCTTGGTCACACAGCAAGTAGTCATAAGTATCACTACCTGTCCTGTTTTTGCAGACTTTATGGTTGCACTGAGTCATTCATGTTGTATGTGACGAGTAAACAGGGACATTCAAAGAGTTAGATAAAAAAAACAGTGACATGCAGAGGGCACGCCACAACACGTATAGCATTGCATGACAAGGGCTGTGTGTTTTTGACGCACTTTACGGTTACTGCACGGAGGCGGTGGAGACGGCTCACAGTGACGAGGCATGAACAGCTTTAACCAAACTGCCCACAGAGCTGAGATCTTAGTTCCTGTCTGTTGGGGGTTGCAGCAGTTTGTGATACACAACGGCCCACGCGCCTGCAGGATCACACAGACACAAAAACTCACAGGCAGTCACGCAAAAACAGACACACACACACACATGCACAGTTTGCATACACACGGATGTACCCGCATGCAAATCTACAAACATTACATTACATTACTGATAACAGTGACTGCACAGAAGTCTCAGCGGCTGCTGCAACAGTGACACCCAGTGGCTGCTGATGAGAATACATATGTAGCCTTGGTGAAGGAATAAAATCATAAACTTTTGATTTTCTTTGATAAGATGCATCCTGTTTTAACTATCGATCTCATTTCTACATGAGTGAACGTCAATTAAGTAAAAGGATTGTAGTCTGCAGTCAGACACTGCCTGTCTTGTTTGCTAAATGTGATGTCTTTGTGTTTCAGTAGAATAACGCAGCCGGGTGTTGACTCAGGCGATGGACTCACTGAGTGCACTGCAGGACGGAAAGCAGGTTTGTCCGCATACACTAATTGAACCTTCTCTGTGGTCTTTTTCATTATTTTTAAGTTTGTAGAGCATGTAAAATAAAAATATTCAAACAACTGTTCCTGACATACCACTCCACCAATCAGTGATATTAATATTTGTCTATTTTGTACACTCAAACTGAAATCAACCCAGGTGGTTCTCATTATAATAAGACTTCAACCCGCATATTTCCCACACCATATGGGCCCACTTCTCCCTCAGTAAGCGAACACCCTCATTTGAATGTCAAACGCAACACCTGATTGGGGTGTTATTGTTCAGAGCCACGTTTTCTACCATGAGAGACAGACAGCCAATAGCAGAGAGGCCTGTGGTTTTGGGGAACAACAGTTTCCTGCATCACACCAGAAAGAGGGTATGCAAATGTGAAGCAGAAAAGGGTACATGCTGTACAGAAACAGAGATCAGAGGAAGTGTTACTGTGGATGGTGACCTTTCATTGCGGCATCAAACTTCCTGCTGTTTTATTTTAAGACGGCGAACTTGTGAACCATGCTCGCCGCTCATTTTCACCATAGCTGAGGATTTTGGGGTTCATTCAGTTACACTTACACTTTTGGTTCTAATTTTGTCGGTGCAATAATGACTTTGATTGTCTTTTAACATTTCAGAGCAGGGGAACAGAGACATCACAATGAGCCCAGAGGAGGATGCAGAGTCATCGGTGTGGAATAATATGATTGCTCCTCGTCTCCAACAACTGGAGAGTGTGGCTGCAGGTAGTTTGGGCAATGCAATTAGAAAGCCAATTTTAAAAAGTGAAGGTCCTGACCAGATCCATTCATTCAATCCAAAGAATGTAAAGATTTTGTTACCAACCACTCACAGAACAACTTCAAAAATAAAGTTTTTATGTTTATATTAAGAAAGACTAATCTAAAATAATGTTGGCGCAGTGATTCTGGTCTATTTTTAGATAAGATAAGAGATAAGATCCTCTTAGTAACGCCTACGAGGATCTATTCTATGTTTCCTCATCCAACAGGTTTTCAGCATTGACAGATAGTCATGCATGAAGTCCTGCCAAATGAAAACACACTTTCGACTGAGAAAGGCAAAAAAAATAGTAATTTGTTTGCCATCCAATTGTCTGAAACTGAAGCTGCAGTCTGGCAGCCGTGAAATGAAATATATGGCTGTAAATATTTTAACACTCTACAATTTTAATGGAAAATTCATTTGAAAAATAAATATTAAATATTTATTCTACCAAGTGCCTTCCGGCTCATGCATGAAACACCTTTTAGATTCCGTGGGAAATTGCAGTGAAATGTTGACAGCGAGACTGCAGCCAACCTTTTTTAGAAATGGCCATACGATGCTATTTATGCAGGGAAAACATTTATTTTACCTCAAAAACAAGGAAAAGACTCCACCCTGTCTCTTCCTCTGCGTCAAGATCGCAGCTGCCCATTGCAGAATTGTTCCCCTGCATCTGGCCATTGAAAACACAAAGCTGCTTCTCAGAAGAAAAAGGAAGGGGAGTGTTACTTTGCTGTTTGACCGAGGCATTATTGATGTTGAGGAGTGCTAATGATAAATCCACACCTTGCAGTAGAGCCAAAGCATATTGCACGTACAGTACATAACACTAAATACACAAAACATCATTCATTCCCAGCACACACGGAAAGGTGTTTTTCATTTTGGGATATTTGCTTTCTCTGTGAATGTTTGACACGGTGGCCTGAATTTGACACGGCTTTCTTTCGCAATATCGGGCTTCTGGCGATGCCAGGCGGCTCGGAGGGCTCGGTGGACCGACTGTGTGATTTGTGTGACGGCCTCCGCGGCACCTTGGCAGAGGCGGACATGCTCGGCCGACGCTGTAAGAGGAGGTCGGGGATACTTCGAACGCTGTTCCGCCTCATCGACCTCGACTCCGCGCAGCTCAACCTGCACATCGCTGAGCTCTGCCTCGCCGTGAGTCGCCTGTCCGTGCCTGTGCGGTTGTCAGCATGTCACTGCGTCCCTATCACAGGGGCCATCTGGGGCACGTGGGCACTAAGTATTAAAGTTGTGCCTTCTTTTTTTTTTTTCCAGCTGTGTGTCAGTGGAAACAACCTGCTTAACATCTGTAAGCTCATCTTCCAGATCAGCCGGAGGGAGAGCAACGACATCCTTTTCCAGAACAGCTCTGTCATAGGTGAACTCTATTCTAGGTCACAATCCTGTTAACCTCTTTACCAGGTCATTGCGTTGCCAATGTTTTGGTTTTTTTTGTCCGTCTAGACTCCTTTCTGGGCATTTTGAGCAACGAAGATGTGTCCACATCTGGAGAAGCTCTGCTGTACTGTGTTGGGACTCTGAAATTCCTTTCAGGAAACTGTGCGATCCTTAGACTCCTGCTGGAGAAGAACTGCGTCGGGGCGGCTCAGAAACTCATCCAGAGGCTGTGCACAGCTGCCGACACCGACTTCACAATAGCAGGACACATCCTCGTCCAGGTGTGTCGGGCTCGGCAGGAGAACGTTTACAGGATATTTACAATTGATTTGAATGATTTATTTGTTATTTGATGCAAACCAATAGCTTTTGTACCACTATTGGTGGAAAGATTTACCCCTGTTTAGTCATACTTTCTCCACAGTTCGACTGCGGGTTGTAAAAGAATCGTCCAAGATCAACATGGAGGAGCACAATTTAATTAATGTTCTTCATGTGTTTTTTGGATGATGTAGACTTTCACAAAGATATTTTGGTTCATGTCTGGTTTATGTTCTCGGGCAATCCATTCTAAAACACACAGTGCTTCACTCTTCCGAAAATAATTACCGCTAACTGCACACGTTGGCCCGAGCGAACCTTTTTAGCCTGAGCTCCTTTTGATATCCAACAAAACTCAGTGTGCTGTACATAAATACGCAGGCAACGACTTTCCAGAAGGCCCGGTGCTGCCGTGTGTTGTTTCCCTTTTATGATATAATGATTTATGTCCACATTGAATAGTTTCCGGTCGCCCTGCAGAATGGAGCCCTGTGCGGCCAGGCGTAACCAGCACATGACCAACATTGTGCGTTGCCTTAATAAATCAATGACGCTTTGGTTCGGCAAGTGAATCTCTGCGTGCATCTGTTCTCGCTATCCAAAACTCAGACCCTTCTCTGTCGACCTTTGACCCCTGTAGCTAACAGCCACCTTGAGGAACCTCGCAGATCACCCTGATTCCCGTCCATTGTTCATCTCCTTCTCCATACTGTCGGAGCTCTGCGTGGTGCTGAGTAATCACCGCGAGGACCCGGACATCTGCACCAACGTTTCCAGAATATACAGGTATCACACGTGCACCAAACTTCAGCATCATTTCTACATCGTCCTACTCCTCACGTCGACTCACTAACATAAACCATTCCAACCTGTTGTGAGTTGGCGGCGGGTTATATTGGTTTATCTCCTTATCTACTTTGCTTCTTACTTCCTGTGCTTTATTTTTCCCTCTGACAAGGAGTCTTTATTGTAATTGGCTCTCGCAGAAAAACAAGTGTTTCCAGAGAAACATGGCCCATGGCAAAGTAATTACACATCTGTTTTTGTGTCAACATCGTAAAAATAAAACATGGCAGGGCAGAAACACAGCAAGCTGTAAGTCACTCAAACGCAGGCCTTTGGTGTATTCAACACAATCACATCTAGACAATAACTAACAAAAATGAGATGTTGTGTTGCTCACCCAGAATGTGAAAAATACACCACTAAGGTGCTTTTAAGTCACACGAGCCCCTAGAAAATACAAATACTGGGCGGCCTTGTTTACAGAAGGCACATCCAAGGTTAGACTAATCTGAAATAACCTACAACTGGGTTTCATGTGACATGCAGGTACTCGGAAAGAAAATATAACCATGCAAAAGTTTAAAGGGAGTTGATGCAACTTTTGTAAGACTAGTGAAGCAACAAGTGCTCACTCGATATTATCAATTACACAGTTGGATCTCCCGAAAGCTTTACGACCTTAGCTAATATTAGCCACGTTAGGTTTTTCCAACATGAAACAAGATGATGAAAGCATTACGGTTAAATCTCAGCAACTTATCCATTAGCAGTGTTGATTTAAAACCCCCCGAATTAAGTCAACACGGCGGCGCAGCCAGCGAGCGGGATAGTCAGTGGTATCTGTTGTCCCCTTTCTCCCTCAGTAAACTCTCCTCTTATTCGGAGTGCCGCCTCGCTCTGGCCCAGACCCCCAACTGCTACCAACTATTTTTAGAACTGCTGAACAAACATCACCAAAAACAGGTGAGTTGACGTGCCTCCTCTTGCGTTTGTGTGTCTAAGTCTGTGTGTGTGTGTGTGTGTGTGTGTGTGTGTGTGTGTGTGTGTGTGTGTGTGTGTGTGTTAGAAAGAAGCGAAGAGAACATCTCTTGCGATCCTGATGTCATCCACTGAACGTGTTTACCCCCAGAGCAAGTCCCGGAACATCGTGTCCATCGGCACGAAACATTCGTCTCTTTCTTGTGTGTGTTTTGACATTTAATCATCTCCAGAGGGCCTGAGTAAGTCAAGGAAAGGGGCAGAGCGAGGGACAGAGGGAGGGACGGAGGGAGGAGAACAAGTAAAAATATGAGGTGAGCTTGAGTAGATAAAAACAGTTGAGGTGATGCAGAGGTTGAGGGGAGGAGTCATAGACAAGAGGAAGAAAGAGGTGGGACTTTTGGCAATCATACATGACTGACATGTGTTCTTAATCCCGATGGATATAAACACAAGCCCACGCCTACAAATACACCCACACCCCCACACACACTCACACACACGTACTGGATAGCAATATATGTAATAAGCACCTCGTCCTTGGACAGCCCGTCCTGTCCTAATACCAATGTCAGTGGTGGTTCATGGGAGGAAATAGTGTCTTCTCGGGTCACCTGCTCCCCGTGTTATTTATTAAGTGGAGTCGGGATACAAGAGTGACGCACAAGGTGTCGTTTGTCCCTGTTTTCTCAGCAAGGGTGTGATAACTGACTGGATGGGGCGTGGTTACCTTAAACATGTCTACACAGCTATGAACCCTCTGGGGGAAAATGACACGGCAGGCTCAATACAACATATGCAGTAACTATGCTATACTAATTATAAGAATTATAACCATCAAGCAAAAGGGTCAAACATTTTTTGGGACTGTTGATCAGACAAAACAAGACATTTGAATACATTGTCTTGAGCGGCGGCACAATAAATTGGTTTAAGTGACAAACTTGAGCGAAAGTACAATGAAACGGCAGCTGGCAACACCGGTGTGACAGGAAGCCTGGGATCACGGGATCACGGGAAGGTAACGAACCTGAGGCAAAACGTAGACACTTTGTCAAGAACAGACTTTTCAGAAACACTAAGTGAAGCTATGTGAGCATCCCCAAAGGATCCATTCATGCAAATAGATGAGAAGACTAAGAATAGATATCCTATTCTAGCCATCAAGTAACTTTGGCCTTTCCGCAATGTTTGCTAGACAAACAGAACATATGGACCGTTACCAGGCCTCTCCATCTCTCCTCCAACAGGATCTTGTTGTGCGCCTTCTCTTCACCCTCGGGAACCTCGCGGCCGAAAGCGACGAGGCTCGATGGCGGCTCTTCCAGTGCGAGGGCTGCGTGGACTCGCTCCTGCAGCTGTACGACACCTACCAGCGGAGGGACGACTCGCCACACACGCAACCGCGGAAAGGTCCCCCTCGGGCCCCTCCAGGGACAGTGCAGCAGGACGAGGACGTGCTGGTAAAGCTGGTCCGGGTGCTGGCCAACATGTGCATCCACCCGGCTGTGGGTCCGGCGCTGGCATCCAACGCAACCTGCATCCGGCTGCTGATGGAGACGCTTGGTGAGCAGTCAGCGTTTAATTGAACCACTTCAGTTAAAAAGTAGAGGATGTATACACGTTACATCTCTGTCCTTCAAAAGGAGCAAAGTTGAGCTTAAAAGAAAAATATGTTTAGTGCATCGTGAGTACAGTAGCTGCAAAGCGAGAACAAGACGTGACTTTGGTCGGAAACACGCGCCTCGTTTGTGTGTTGGATCCATTGCCTGCTTTCCTTTCAGTGCTTTTTATACGCAGCACATCCTCTTTTGGTTTACCTGTTGTTCCTTCAAGTCGGATAGAGAGAAGCGCTTCACTGCACCGGCAGGATGTTCCACCGCGTCCCTCAGACGACTTGGTTTGTGTGTGTGTGTGTGTGTGTCAGAAATTCTCCTATGTGGTTAGATGGTTTCAAGACGGGTTGAGCTGATACGCAGGTGGTTGTGAAACTCTCGATCTGTCTCTTGCCCGCCTCCGACACGCTTCACGGCAGTTGGGAAAGTAAATTAGACAAACACAACAGACAACAAATTTGTGCGAAATGTTCAAAGTCCAAATAAGGAGGTATTTGAGATGAAGGATCAAATCAAGTAATTGAAGATAAAAGGTCAAAGCAAGCGAAAAAGGGAGAAAGCTGCGTTGGGGTGACAGCTGCTTTGATCTAGTCAAAGACAGGCGGTGTTGCTTTACATTACACACACACACACACACACACACACACACCAAAGCAGCATTTCTAGTCAGAAACAGAAACAAAATTCCGTGTGACACCTGTTGACAGCGACCGCAGTATCCGCGATTTATGACCGAGCACACGCCGCTCTCGGTGCCACGGCTGGTTGAGTTGGGTCACATTGACCTTTTGAATGCCAGCTCATGACCAAACTATCTATATCAAGCAAAAACCACAGGTGACAGCTCCTTTTAAGATAACCAGTGAGGCCCGAGCTGTGATGTGCAGCGGATGTATTTTTGCATGTATTTATAAATAGTAATAGAATTGTTCTATTTATCTGTAAATGAATAATTAACTCTTTAATTTACATTCACATTGCACTTGCAAATTCGTATAACCAACCTGTTAATACAGTACCTATAACCCAGTTTACACAACCAAAGAGTTGTTTTATGGATGAATTATCTGCTCGTACTTTATCTTCTCCTTTTTATCAACATAAAAAGAAGTAAAGCAGCTGTAAATTTCAAATCCTCTGTAAATGCACAGGTTCTTTTCAAGTCAATAAAAAAGTTTTAATTATAATTTCCCAACGGGAAAAAGGCAGAGGACAGAAATATTTTTAGGGATTGAAGGTCAGTGCGGACGCTCCCTCTGTTGGTTGTATTTTATATTTGTATTTATATTTTTTGAAGGAAAAATCTAGGACATCTACTTCAAGAAAGCTGTTTTGAATTATGTTAATTCAAGGTTAAGCTTACCAGTGGTTTTCCATTTTGTGTTATTATGACAGAGCTGAGGTGTGTGCAGGAAAGCGAGGAGCTCTTGGTGAATGTGGCTGCCACCATCAACAACCTGTCCTTCTACCGGGAGGACAGCTCTGTATTGAGACGCAGTCAACTCCCCATGGCAAAGCGTGAGACTAAAATGATTCAGATGTGGAGATGAAAAATAAATACATCTGTAATTTCCTGATTGAACAACTCGCCCCCTTGATTTTCCCCTCTGGCTTTTTTTCAAATCCCTTCCCCCCTTTTTCCATCTGCTCACTCTTTCTTTTTACTTCAGTGATGTTAAAGTTGGTGCTCAGTTCCAGCATGGACGCCATGCTTGAGGCCACCCGTGTGTATGGAAATGTGTCACAGTCCAAGAACGTACGGGACTTTATCATGCAAAACAAAGGTATGTGACGGACAAACACCAACAGACGCACAAAACAAATCTCCAACATGAGACTATAATCATTGCTATTTTGATTAAGCAATAGTATTCAAGAACTCTCTCTGGAAAGTTAGGTAAAAGTTGTCATGTTCGAATTAAAAAAATGATATAGGCCTAACTGCACATACAATATGTTTTAAAGTGTTATCATTCATGTACTGAACTATACAGAATGCTGAGGACCTTGGCACAGAATGTCCAGTACAGTATGCATCTGGACGTATCTGCAAGGCCGGCTACAGTCAGGCTTAACTTGCCTTCTTATCTACTTTGTCCTCGTCCGCTCCCTCACAAAATCATCTTTCTCTCTCTCTCTCTCTCTCTTTCTCAGTGCACCAGTTTGTAGTGACACTGCTCGACTCAAAAAGCACCGAGATGTGCATTGCAGCCTGCGGGGTCCTCACCAACTTGGCTCAAGACCCTCCCAACAGGGCCAGCCTCTCCGGGGAGGGAGCAATAGCCAAGTAAGGACTAATGCAACTAGAGATTAACGGCATGTTATGTACGAGGTCACACCTTTTCATTCTGAGCATCTGTGCATCAAATATGAAGCTCATATCAAGACACGGTTAGCTCAGCTTATTTTGGCTCAGACAAGGCTTTTGTTTGTAGGAAACAGAATCCATGACTTCTAATGCATAAACGTATTGTGTTTTTTAGATTTCTCTCTAAAATAAATGTTACTATAACCCTCAGTCAGGCCCAGTGTTTCTGGTCTTTATGCTATGCTAAGCTATGCTAACTGCCTACTCGCCATTCGCAGGCTGATATGAAAGTGATATCTTGTTCTCATCCGTCTCTCACAAAGAAAAGGAAGGGTTTTCATAACTTTCTCAAGTTGTTGAAATATTACTTGAATATGAAACTGGATGTTTTTTGCAGAGGCATCACCAGTTGCAACAGAGTCAAAAGCATCCTGACAACCATGAGCTCAACAACGCCACTAACATGAATAAGATGCCAATAATCATGCTATTTATATACACTAGTGATATAATTAAATGTAACTACAAATAAAATATAAATGATCTTCTAGTACCAGCTTCTCACTCTCCAAATGTAGCATTCTTTGAACTTTTAAATCTCCACTTCCCACACACATAGTTGTCTTTCAGATGTACTTCCAATGAAGTGGAGCTAATGCCCACAAACCTGCCGGTCATGTGAACCCCTTGAGTCACGCGATGTGTGTGTGTGTGTGTGTGTGTGTGTGTGTGTGTGTGTGTGTGTGTGTGTGCGCTCAGGCTTGTGGACTGTCTGAGAGACTTCGGGCCAGGTGATTGGCAGCTGGTGAGCCAGGTTTGTCAGGCGTTGTGGAACATGATCGGCTGTGGGCCGGAGAAGCTGCTGGACACACGGGAGAGAGAGTCACTGCTGAAGATCCTCACCACATATTTAGGTTGGTACACAGGGTTATTACTCACCCTTACATAACAAAGGAAGGTGAGGGAGGGTGGAGGGGGGGATGCTGTTAAGGACATTCTCTTTTTCTCATCCCCGACCCTCAGGGGAAAAGGAGGGACACTTAAGTCTATAATAAGCCTCTAACTTGGCTCTTATTTGTGTCAGATGAGGAGGCGGCTCTGAAGTGGATAGAGGATGACGACGTGAGGGACTTCCACAGGGCATGCTGGGAGTTCGAGTTCCTTCCAGTCGCTCAGAAACTGATGAAGACGCTTCAGCCTCCGGACCAGACGGCGTGACGAGATGGGACGTTAAGAGTCTTGTGTCGTCATAGAGGTTTTATCACGGTTCCAAACTCAAACCCGGTCGATACTAACGGTTGAAAACTCACCTCCCGCAGCTGTAAGGGGCTGGGGTTTGTTTTTAAAGGGTGAAGCAAGAAATGCAAGTCACAGTGAATTATGTTAGGCCTAAAAAAATAACATCTCACACAACTGCTGCAGCGAAATTCCCTTCTAATCCGTCCGGCCACATGCTCGATCTCCTGTGACTGTTGATGGTATTTAACATGACACAACAAATAAGCAGGGAAAATCTTTTTTTTTTGTCTAATTAGTGTAGACTTTATAAATAGGATATTTATTAATGCACTTTAATTCCAGTAAAGCTTGCAAAAGCTTTCCATCTCTGGGTACGTTCACATGTACAGGGATCATTTAAAACAAGCTCTTTGCACTTTTATGTAACAGACTTGATCCGCTTTGTGAACTTGCTGTGTTGTAAAGGCTCTATGTGGTTTTGAAAACAGCTGACTGACCTAGAATAATGTCTGTACATTGTGTGACATTGGAACTTGTACATAATAAAGCAGAAGTAGGTGGGAAAACATTTGTGCTTCTCAAAGCCTTTATTATTACACAGATATGGGGCCAGGCAGTGCTTACAAGTAACACCAAGTAGCCTTCAGTACAGCATTTCAAAATCACAACAAAACAAATTCAAAACGGCACTTGGAAAAAGAAAAAAAAAAAAGAAAAAAAGTAAACTAAGTTCCCTCAGTTTGCAAAAGAGTGACCTTAAAACAACCGCAATGTTTAACCAAAGCTAATAAACATTGTTCTCTACGTAGAATTTCTCGGGTTGATTTGAAGGACAGCTGACTGGCTGATATCACGGTTGCTTAACTGATGTTATTCCACGTATGTGTGTGGGAACGCCACTGAAACCGGGTTTGAACACCCTGAACTTCAGACCGCCTCATGTGGGAGGTGAAGGATTTTTCCCCACAACGGCAAGCGGGAGAGAGAGAGAGAGAGCGGGGTGAGGGTCCCCGCGAGGAACTCCCCCTTATCTTAACACGAATGTTGGCCATGAACAAGAGACTTGGATGATTATGGCACCGCGGGAACAGTTACCTGGTTCCCAGGGAGCCGCATACAAACAGCCGAGTGTACTTTGGAACATGAAGAGTTAGAATAAGATATTGTTTTATGTCACCTTATTTGACTTCCTATACTTGAGGACCTGAACACAGGAAGTGAGCTGATGGTGACACCGATTGTGCTGTGACTGTTCCGGCCTCTGCACACGACATCTTTGATGAAGCCGTGGAATTAAATTGTTACGAAGAAAATTACCAATGATACACAAAAAAAAAAAATCAATATCATAGTTTATTTTTTTCATGCTTTTTGTGTGTTTTCAGATTTTTTTTTTTTTTTTTAAGTGCCAGTAACTGACATTCAGAAGTTTTGGAAAAAAAAGAAGAAAAAAAAACCTTCTCTCAAACAACTTCCAAATGTACCATTCTTTTATAGACCTCCTGCTCCTCCTCATCACTCATTCATTCGTCTGATTCGCACAACCAACCCTCAAAACGCAGCACTGGTTTTAGTAAACAAAAAAACAAGAGAGGTTTCACACCCCTGCTCAAAATAAAAAGTAAAAAAAAAGCTGCTTTTGCACTGGTTAGACTTCCCCAGCAGGGAAATAAGCACGGCTACAACCTTTTGCGTTCGACAGCTACTCGACCGCGGTCAGCCGGCCTGCCCGCCCCCGAGAATCGGGAACACGGCAACCCGGTAAGAGTCTCCGCTCCCCAAAGAGCACTTCTTAAACGTTTTACAGAGAAAAACAGAAGAGGTATTCATTTACTGGTAAATTCACAATCCAAAGCTCTGAAAGTGTTATGGTGGCCAGGACGCCGGGACAGGCGGAAGACAGATCAGGGGTGGTTTGGGCGACCGGAAGCAAATCCCTCTGGCTTTTAAACTTTCTTCTTGATTAGCTTTTTTTTTTTTTTCTTTCTTTCTTCTCATTACCAGAAAAATAAAGACGTCATTAACAACAAATGATAGACAGTCATGTCACGATAAACAGAGCTACAGCAGAAGCTAGAAGTCTTACCTTCAAAACGCCTCGCTTTTTCTTTTTTTTTTGACACATGAAATTCAAAAAGACATTTTTTTTCTTCGTCATTTCTGTAATACAAACACACACAATCGGTCAACACCTCAGTCGTCATAAACACAGAACTCATCCACACAGTTACAGACAAACTCAATACAGGGCTCAGACAGTGTTCTTTGAGTTTCTTTCAAAAACCTCCTGGTTTTTTCACACACTCCTTGGACTAGCTTAAATTGACATTTGAGATTTTTGATGGGGGTTGAGGACAAAGGGGGGGGGGGGTAATGCAGTGGATTTCTAATGGACAGGGACTTGGGGGTGATTTGGGGATCAATATGACCCCAGTGAACACATTATGGGAGCAGCATCATCAGCACATCTGCACACTGTGCCGGATAGTTCAGGCACACGTACAAAAAAAAGGTAATAAAATGAAAAAAACAAAGTTAATGCTTCCATCTCCAGTTACCACTAACAGCAACTACACTGACAACAACATCCACTTCTCTTCATACAAAATGAAATAAAAAGGTCTTAAAGAAACTAAACAGATATAACAGTGACAAAAAGTTTCAAAGTGCAGACAACTTGCACAACTCTTTTTTTTAATTTTTGTTTGTTTTTTCCTCTGTGGGTCTTCACTCTACTGGGAGGCAGAAGAGGTCTGCAACCACTGCGTTGCGTGCTGGAATACTGAAACATCGCCCTGGACGCCTCCGGTGTCGGTGCTCAGGCACAAACTCCTCACCAGCAGGGCAGGAGTTTGCTCCAGGCAGCCCCCTCTTGGTCAGTTTTGGCACTGCAGGCAACCACATGTAGTTTGAGATGATGATGATTTTTTTCTTGCTTTCCTTTGTTCTGATCCTCTTCTCAACACCGATCCAACGAGCACTGTCACAACCCAGGGCTCCTCCACATCTATGTTGAATCCCATGCTGCCTTATATTATCTTTTTTTTTTCTTTCTTGAAGTGTCCCGTGGTGAGCAACAACGACAAACGTTTAAAAATAAGAAGAAAAAAAAAAAAAGGCCCAAAGCACTTCATGTCATGTAGCGGGTGATCGCTCTCAGAGCGTATAACAGTTCTGCCTGCATTCGCGCTTCCATAAGAAGCAGATTAACGTGGACCTGCCAGAGAAAAAGAGACGGTTATTGAACACTGGACAATCAAACACTAATAGACCTGTTCATGCAAAGATGGATCAGGATCTTACCTTCTCGGAGTGCTGAAACTGCCTCCAGAAACTCTCATACATTCGTTTGGTGGTCTTCTCAGGACTACACACCATTGTCTTAATATAGATTTTAAAGCTACGGTCCAGAAGCTGGTTTATCTCCCCGTAATCATAGTCATCATACCTGAAGAACACAGAGACGCAATGTTAGGCAACATTGATGATTTTGAATATAGAGGCACACATTACAAGGTGATCCACGGGAATTAGAATAGTTATAGTAGATAGAACGAACATTGAAATATACGTTTTAGTTAATTTGACTAGTACAAAAAAAGGGGGCCGGGGGGGTGCTGTATTCATCATGCTGCCAACACAAGGCAGTCGAAGGGGCGGCTGCCCGGGCTAGTTGGCGTCTTAAGAGTCTGACTATTTCCCCCTACAGCAGTCACAGTGGCAACAGCTCAGCTGCACAGGTATCCAGCGACTGACCTGATGCCGAACATGCAGTGGATGTAGTTCCAAATAGCCCTGCGCAGCATGCTGGTGTCGACGTCCTTGTGTGTCGCCATGGTGTTGTAGGTCAGGTTGTAGGCCATCTGGAACTTCTCATCCAGCATCTGACCAACATCGGGGTACAGTCTATTGACCAAAGAGAATCCGTGATCCTCCCAGCTGTAATCCTGGGGAAAGGGGAAATAAGGAGTATATAACAGTTGCATAGAACCATCTTCTTTAGTGTACTGTATTTTCTGAGTGTATTTCATCTTTACCTGCACCCTGAACGTTGGCACATGCTCCCCTCTCCTGGAGAAGTCCTTGTAGCCATAACTAGGGTCCTCAAAGTGCCGGGATATGTCTCTGGAGGGGACACACTCCTCGTCCTCCGCCGTGACCACCAGCATGCTTTCAGTCTTCTCCCTCTCAAAGCGAGTTGCCATCTCCTCCTGGCTGGCCTCCTCCTCCTCGTCGCGGCACTCCTGCAGCTGCTTCATGCGCTCCATCAGCACCTCCACCTCGCCGCACATCTCCTGTGGAAACAAAGCGCGCGCGTCTACGGTTAAGAAAAAGCCGCACACGAGATGTGCAGGTATCGTACCCGCTGCCTTGATTTAGCCAGAAAAGCCAGAAGAAACCCTTGCACGCTCCAGCTCTCTGCACACACGGCATCCATTACCGCTCACCTGGTTGCTGAGCGGATCGTCGTGGTGATAAGCATGCCCGTTGCCATTGGCGATGTCACAGACGCAGTACTGGCTGAGGGAGGGGGGTCTGAATGTGTGTCCGCCGTTGCAGTGGATCTCCGGCGTGATGCCGCACCCGAAAGTGAACGAGGCGAGGGAGTGGTAGTGTGTGAGGAGGACCACGGCGTGGATCAGCTCGGCGAGGGACCAGCTGTGCTCCTCTGCTTTCAGGAGGCGCTGGAAAAAGGGAAGGGAGTAATTTACCCCATCCGTCACGATACGTCTACTAAACCAACTCTATTCCAACTCAAAGTTATACAGCTGCAGAAATATTCTGGCCTACACCCATGACCTCATGCGACCAGCCCGCGTCGGTCCGCTCACCTCAATGTGTTCCTTGGTCAGAAGCCACGGCCGATGGGCCAGGATTTTGTTGAGCTCTCCGAGATGCTGCAGCTTCTGCGGGGCGCCATCGAGGCCGTTCAGCCACTTGGGGTCCCCGCCGACCTGGAGGAAGTCGTTCACGTGGAGGTTGACCAAGTAGGAACACTGGTGTCTAGCTGCCGCCTGCAGGGAGGGTCGAGATCAACCTTTAATACATCAAATTGCTTGACTTTGGCGTGGGGTTTGACATCGCAGGGCAGAACGTACCATGATGCCGATGTAGTGTCGGTAGTGCAAAGACAGGGGTCCGTCCATCTGGAGCAGGTAGTGCTGCGTCCGGAGAAAACTCCCCAGGTACTGTGGGTGGAAGCCCATCACCAGAGAAATGTTGTCGAGGCGACCGAGGGCTGCGAATGCATCCTCAAATATCGATTGTGTCCTGGCGTCCACTTTACTGACTTGAAGAATCTTACAGGGGGAAAGAAATAATAGGCAAGGGGCCGGTTACATGTGCGTCACGTTTTGCAAGTGACTCTGTGTTGAGATACACGCTGTCTTTTACCTCTTTTTCAGGGATAAATCTGCTTGGTCCGTTTCCTAAGGGTCTTGGGATCCTTACTCCCAAGTCCTGTGAGACAGAAAGTAGAAAACGTTCAAGAAGGATCGTCACTTCGCTCTACGGTCACGGTGTTTCTTAACCAGTGCGATGAAATCAGAGCTGACACCAATAACCTGT